AGCCAGCATACCTGGCTGGGGAATTCTGGGAATTGAAGTCCACACGTCTTAAAATGGCCAAGGTTGAGAAACACTGATTTACTGTATTAGAAATTAAAACTGAGAAATTTTAAAATATTTGTGTATTTGACTTCGCGGACCCCCTGAAAGGGTCACGGGGACCCCCAGGGGCCTCCAGACCACATGCTGAGAACTGCTGCACTAGAGCTTCCCTGACAGAGGACCATCCAGCCTTTGTTGGAAGACCATCCATGAAGGAGAACTTCCTGGGGCCTTTCTACAACCTCATTGGCTGGGATGATGGGCATTGTAGTGTAACCATCCAGAGAGTCCCCGGCTGAGAAAGGCTGTGGCCGATTTTCTGTCCTGTGAGGTAAAGGTTCTGCCCTTTTCAATGCTGGCTTGGCCAGATTTGCAGCACTCTTTCCTCTGGAAGAGATTAAGCCCCCCGACCACCAGGATGGTGTCACCATGTGGAACTAGGTTGGGAAGATCTGGGATCAAGGCTGACCTCCTTAGAGGAAGTTCACCTCCGTTGCAGTCTTTGGGCTCAGACTTACCTCCCGGAGTTGTTGTAGGGATAAAGGGGAGGAAGGAATACAGTAAAGGTTGACTTGAACTCCAAAATGAAAGCCAAAATAGGCTTAATAAAAGTAAGTGATTTAGGGGAGGGGTGGGACCTGCATGGTGCAGAGGTCTAGCTAGGGAAGAAGCCATTGTTGATTTAGCTCTAGAGAGACAGGAAGGGAGGGACAGCCAAAGAGGTGAGAGAGACCATCACCCAAAATTCCTTGGCCCATGTTCCCCGGCCTGCATGGAGTATGCATCTAGGGAGAGACGGGGCAAAAGGAGCCAAAAGTACCACGACATCAGTCCCTCCCAACCATATTTTCCTGGGGGTGGGCCATAGTCTGACCTGGTCTGAAGCCAAGTGGCGGTCTGCTGCTGCTTCTTCCCAGCAAAATGCTCTCCAAATGGTCACACCGTCCACGGTCGAAGTCCTCATGCTGGTGCTTAGGAGGTGGTGCCTTCCAGCCAACGGGCCCACCAAGAACCCCCAACTGCTGCAGCTGACCCTGAAGAGCGTGGTCTGCATGGTTCATGTTCTCCACACCAGCAGCCCCAGCCAGCGGGCTGTGGAGATCCGGGCAATCTTGGACAGCTTCTTCAAGGTCCTCAACGCAGACCAATCCTTGGCCTCCCTGGAAGGCTCGCCAGGTCCTCATTGGGAGGAGAAACTCATCACGCTCCGGGTGAACATGCTGGGTAAGGGGGAAGAGGTGGTGGGGGCCTTCTGGGCCGGAGGAGAAAGCTCTCTGCTTTTCCTGCATGGCCATCAGCAAATCCATTACGTACTCAGATGGTCCATATTCTTGGTCAAAATCTAAATAGTGTTCTGGTTCTCAGGAACTAATGAAACTTCTATGAGATGCAAGACAAGTGCGTTGTATAGCAAACAGTCCCCCAATCTTGGGTCAGATGAGAAAGCCAGCCTGGTCCTCCCAGTGTTTGAAAGAGAAGCCAAAAGTCCAGCATTAGAAGCTCTTTCTGGTTGATTTCCCAGAGATGTTTCCCCAGAAATCCTATTGAATGTCTTCAGAATCAGAATGGTTGGCTGTCTTAGAATTAAGCTGGCAGGGTTGGGTTTTGCTGGGATAGGACCCAACGTTTTGTACTTTGGCCATTTATTTGGGGTCATAACCCCCAAACTGGAAGTAACTGTTTCTGCTTCTGAAGAGCCTCTGTGGGAACTACCTCCCTCTCCACTTAGTGATTGTGGAAGCTTGGGCAACTCAACGGGAGTGGAGGGCCTGTAGAGGCCAGCTCCCTTCTGAGCAGAAACCACATGCAAACTGTTGCTACAGCCAACCAATCTCCTTAGCTAAAGGGTCCTCACAATCAGTTGGTCTTTCTCTCCAAGTTGATTCAGCCAGGAACAAAGGACATTCCAGCCCAACCTGCTTAAACGTGGTGTCAAGCTGGGAGGATTTGAGGTGGGAGGTGTTGGGGGACCTTGCAGAAAGACTGGGAAGGGCACAAAATGCAGGCCTTTTCTAACCCCAAGCAATATGGGGAAGAATGGAAATTTGAAGAAGGAGGATTGAAGTCTGAATGGAAGAAGACCAGAGTAGATCATTCTGAGAAGCTCCCTGTTCAGTTACAGTCCCAAAGGCTAGATCTGGGACCGGGCAGGTTGGTGGATCCCACAAGAGCACCAGGAATGGAAGCAGGAGGTTGGCCTGTGAAGGTCAGCCACAACATATCCCAGCCCTGCAGAGACAGGAGTCAGAGGCTACAGAGAGTTGGAGGAGCAGAAAGACTCTCCAAATCCTTCTAAACCCATCCTTCTCCAAATGGGACCAGTTTACTGGAAAACCTACTCCAACCTAGCTTGAGAGCAGGCCAGGAGGTTCAAGCTTTCCATGGCCATTTTGATGAGCGTTCCCCATGTTGATCCCACAGTCAGACAATGTGAATTCTTCACATCCCATTTGGATCCTGTTGGACCTGTCTTTTCTGTCTTTAGATGCCATTCCAGAAATGTTGAACTACGATGACCGGCCGGTGTTGCAAGCCATTTTCCTTAGCAACAACTGTTTTGAGCACATCATTCGACTGATCCAGAACAGCAAGGTAAAGAAATCATAGCCTTTCCCATGGATTTGGCGGGTTTCGTCAGGTTTCAGGAAACGCTCTTTCATTGTCCTCCGTTTTGGAAAACCGGGCAGATGAATAGTTGCTATGAAGAAGCTCCTTGCTCTCAAACGTCAACCGTCTTTCTCCAGAATGCTTGGATCCGTTGTTGTATATCCCGTGGGGGTGCGCTTAAGTCCCATCAGTCTCTGAAACGGGGGTGTATACAGGGCGGGGTCAAAAAAGTCAAGATGGCAGCCACCACAGCGGGATTGCACGCAGTCACTTGTCTGAGATGGGCGGCTATAGAAATTGAATCAATTAAATAAATAAATAAAGCCAGGCAGAGCTCGGATCGAAAAAGCCCACCCTCTTTGCTTTTTTGAACACTCCCTGCTCTGAAGAGTGAGTTTGCTGAACGCTTAAAAAGAAAAAACTTATTGCTCTGAACAATTTGGAGGGATCACAAAATAAAACATAATTAATATTCTTAAAGCCAGCCCATCGAGGCTGAGAAAGCTCTGAGTCAGGGAAGGGGTGACTCCAAGCTGGGGCTTTCACTGTTTTCTCCCTTCCCAGCCACGGAGAAAGGGGAATGTTTATTGATTTGATTTGATTTAGATTTAGATTTAGGCTGTTTATTTATTAGATTTAGATGCCGTCCATCTCCCCCAAAGGGTGGCTCTGGGTGGCTCACACTTAAAATCAAGCATCAAAACAGTAAAAAAATATAAACATCCACATTAAATTAGCTGAAAAAACCATCCTAGATAAAAGGACTGTACATATAAGAAGACTATAAAAATGGAATGGGGCAAGGGGGCAAACAGAGCCTCCATACGGCAATTTCTGGAAGCACAAACCGTGATAAATAGGGTTAGAGTTAGGGCTGAAACTTGAAGGTTGCAGAATAAGGCGAGCCCTGCCACCAATGCAACCTGAAGTGTCCGAATTTTCACGTGGATGTAGTCCACACAAGGTAGAAACCTGTAGACAACCTTTTCCAAGTCTGGCACTTTTCACTCTGGAAGAGCTGCCCCTCACATTCAAGGGATCCCACCCCGGGTAGTCCCCTAATGCACGCCCCCCACCCGGGTGAATCCCCGCTCTCAGCCCTTCTGCTTTCGGGTGCAAAGGGACGCACAGCTCTGCAGAAAAGCTCCTGAAAACGCTCCAACCGGGAAGGGATCCAGCCTCCTCCCCGTTAGCTCGAGGAAGGACGCATCCTGTTCGGAGACAGGATTTTGGCAAAACGTCCCGCGGGAGAGTTTCAGGGGCGCGTGACGAGGGGTGGGAAGGAGCTCGCTCGCGGCACGGCTGTTCTGGGCAACTCTCCCAGCCGAGAGAAGGAAAAGACACCTGGTAGCTTTGGACCAAGGTTGCATTTTCCGTCCCCTTAGTCGCCCCCTCCCTTAAAGCCCCTGCTGGGAGGAGACCTCGTGTGCTCTCTCGAGGGCTATTTTTAAAACTGGCTTTTTTAAACAAACAAGGTGTTCTCCTTCCTCCCCTCTCGCCTCCGCTGGCATGTCCGTTTTAAGACGGTTTGCAGATCTTGTGCACGTAAATCTGCCCTGCCCCGAGGCACCTAGCCCACGTCACCCCCCGGGGCGTCCGGTCGCTGCAATGCTTCTCCCAGTTTTCAGGCAGGCCCAGTTCTGCAACCACAGCAGTGCTTTTGGGGGGGAAAAGAAAGGATGGGGGGCTGAGGTTTGGGGTGACTTCAGGCAAGCAGATGTTGGAAAGCTGCAGCCTGTGGAATTTGAGACGTGGCTTCGTTTGGAGGGGTGTGGGAGCCTCCCGTGCTCCTTCCACGGGGGAATAGACCCCGGGGTCCTTGTGCGTCTCTGCATCTTGACCAGCCCAAACTGCTGGTAATGAGCCTGTCCCATTGTGGCTGTCTGTTGTCTGGACACCACAGACAATGTTCTATCAGCAACCTTCACTGGAGAGCTGAAGTTGTGTCCCTCAACTTCCGTGCAAGGCCTTCTTCTCTCACCTTTCCTGAAAGGCTGTTTCCAGCTTCGGCTTGAACATGGTGGACTTGCCCCGATGCTGGAGGGGCTGCTTCCTGCTCGCTCAGCTCCTGATGTGTCACCGCCTTATAGAAATCAGAGCAAGAGTTGATTTCGATCCTAGGTGGCACCCTCCACTGCCCTTGGCTGATCTAAAAAAAAAAATGAAACTGGCAGCCTTGGACCTAGGTCAGAGTTGGATGGGAAATTGCCAGGAAATCCTGAAAGAAATTAATGGAAAGACCCTTCCATAATGACCAAGAAAACAACTTAGAAGCATCCATATCGTTCCCACGCCATCTTTTCTTTGGGAGAAAGAACAGAGTCTCTCCCCATAATTCGTGCCAGCCGTGTCCCAGCGTGCCTCTGGTTTCGGGGTTTGAAAACATACCAGTTGGGTTTCAGATGGGGCAGGAGAAGGGTGAGCAGATCTCCCTCCACCCCCGGTCCAAGTTGGATGCTCAAAGATTGGTGCGACCCCAAGGGAGCCGAGGTGAAGGAGATGAGGTGCAAATTTGGCAGAAATGAGGCAGAAGCTTTTCCAAGCCTGGAGATGACTTTTCTTGAGGCACAATTCATAAAGAGTACCTACAACATACTCCCCCCCCCCACAAAGAAAGGTAAAATAAGAGGAATAAGGACACAACCGGGTAGCAAACTCTCACAACTGGCTGTGCGTGCCTATGTGTCCTTGTTCCTCTCTCTTTGCTTTTTTTGGGGGGTGGGTTGGGGGGTAAGGCATGAAAACAGCCTCCTTCCTTGGGTTTGACTTCTTGGAGCCATCGCAAAGCAGGGTTCCTGGAGGTGCTGGGTTTCCATTTTGACCTGCGTGGGGTTTGATGCAATCTTTACAGGCACAGCTTTGTCGTTATACGCTACCTCCTCTCCTCGTACCCTCAAACTGAAGAGTTGGTGAGGTTTCTGTGGGGTGGGAGATCCTGTTGGGTCCTTGAGGTTCTCTGAGCGTGGTGGTTTTCTTGGAGATGTTTCAGGAACATCATCAGGGCACGCAAGAGTGGCGTTTGCTGGCTGTTATATAGTCGCCCTGTTAGCCTTGGTTGGGTTGTGGTTTCTTCTTTGATGGTTCTAGGACAGGGGTTCTCAACCTTGGCCACTTTAAGATATGTGGACTTCAACTCCCAGAATTCCCCAGCCAGCCATGTTGAAGTCCACATATCTTAAAGTGGCCAAGGTTGAGAACCACTGTTTTAGGGTGATTAAGTTGTTGCACTGATGATGTTCACTCGCCTGGTGATGAAACGTCTGAACACCAAGGACCAAACAGCTCCGCCAGAGCTACAGATACCCTAAACTCTTCCTTTAAACCGTGCCATTGATGCTAATCCTAGAAGAGGAGGGTTAAGCTCAAGCTTAAGTTTAGGTTTAAAGTTAGGTCTAAACTTAACTTTGGGCTTAGTCCTACTCTTTGCACCCAGATCTGTAGTTTTTATGGCTTACAGGCATCAGAGGGGAGCACATTTAGGGTAGGGCAGAAGGTACGGATAAAAAAGAAGAATGCCCTGCCTAGGCCATTGCAGGAACCCCATCTGCTGGGACTTCTGATCACCCAAGCCCTTGGAGCTGTGGGTTCTCCCCCACCACCGTCCACCCACTTTTAAGTGGACCTTCTGAAAAGTAGATGAGCTGCTCTGTCCGTGGGTGTCTTTGCATTGCCTGCTGTGTTTTTCCACCCAGTAACCCGGCAGCCTCGTGCCGTAGTCAAGCATCATGTCATTCACCTCGGTGTCCTCAAGCCGGCCTGTCTTGCTCCAACAGGAGGACTCTGAATCCCACTTCTTTCTGGCTCCGGTTCCACTCTGGATTCTAGAAAGGGTGTATCTTGACCGTCCAGCATTCTGGTCTGCTGAGAGATTTCTTCCTCGGAAAAAAATGTGGGTGCAGGTCACAGGACCTGCTTTCTGTGCAGCTGGGGCCAACCCTGTTCCGGTCTGGCTCCACCCTTCTCTGGAGACCCTCTCTGTGACCCAGTAGTTCCTTTCTCTCCTCCCTTCTCCCCTTTGGAATGACCCTGGTTTTTTGACCCCATTTCTGACAGCTCTACCTGAGCAGTGAGTGCAAAGCACCCGGAAGTGATCTTGCCACGCGGTTGCTGACTGAGATGGAGATCCATCAGGTATAGCCTCCTGCTGCTTATAGTGGTGTGGCAGGTGTGCATGTGGGCTGCATGCGGTCTGCTCTCTTTTCTCGGGTGGGAGAGGTTTTTCCACCAGCTTTTGCACGCTTCCCTCAAATTGGAGGGGTTGTGTTCAGAAACCTGCAGGGGGGAAACAGTGGGCAAAGTCTTGAAATGATAAAGTAGGCTTTGAAAGGATGGATGGATGGATGGAAGGAAGGAAGGAAGGAAGGAAGGAAGGAAGGAAGGAAGGAAGGAAGGAAGGAAGGAAGGAAGGGTGGAGGAGATGGCTGTAGTTATAAAGACTTCCTTTTAAGTTTGGACAAGTTCGGATTGTGTAGAGTGTTAAATAGTGACAATTGAGACTTTGGACTGGGAATTGCAGGTTTAAGTCCCTGTAGCTCTCAAGCTGAATTTGGACCATCATTCTTCCTTAGCCTGATGTGTTAGTTTTTTGCAACTGCTTGAAACCAAGTTCTCTTTAACAAGATTTATTGAGAAGAAAGGGATTGGGTTAACAACAGCAGCTGGAGAGCAGAGAAGGGGAATTATGGTCTTTGTGCCTACTTGAATGGCACCCCAGAAACATCTGGGGAGAGAGGACAGAGGGCCAGTGAATTGTGGGGCTGTTGACAAGCTTTTGCCTAGGACACCACAAATCTCTGTTCCTTTGACTGAGACCAGCATTAGTGACCACTGTGCTGGCGTTAAACATCTTGGGGTCTCCATGTGGAGGTCATTCTTTCTCTGGGAATCTGATGAACCTCCTGAACAGTAGACTCTAACGCTTAAGGTGGTCCTGAAAAGATACTCCAGGTCTGACCTAGTTCATATTTGGAAGGGAAGCCACCAGGAAATCCCACAACTGTCTTCTGAATTGGGAAGTTGGAAAAATATTCTGGAAGAAGGTCATGGCAGAGCTTTTCCTGAACATGCCCAGAAAGCACCAGGAACATGTCCAGAAGTTGAAGTCAGCTTAAACATGTTAATCTTTCACATCAATGTTTCAATCAGATTAATAGCGGGGGGGGGGGGAAATCCTGTTTAATTGCTCTTTTGTTTGAGGGTGGTTTTATGTGGTGCATATAATCAAGATCCACAGAACGCATGTAATCCATATACAGATAATCAGAGCTGCCTCCTGTTGGTGCAACGATCAAGCAAACGGTGGGCTGCAGCAAATGGGGAGGAGGAAAGACCCCTGACTCTAAAAGCAACAGGCCCCACACCCTCTGACCCACCCAGTGGTGGGCCTGCTGGGGACACTCCAATTCTGCAATCCAGAATGGATTTTTCTTTTTTTTTTTAAGAGACCGCTCCAGGTGTCTGTGATGTTGTGGCTCATAAACGCTTGTACCTTTTAATCACGTGTTAGTTGGAAAAGGGGCTCTCGGGAAGAGAAATTAAACCAGCTCTCCTCCTACAATGAGGAGGAAGATGTTGGAAAAACCCTGCAAATTGCTGTGTGGGCTTCGGTGGCCTTTCCATGCTGTCAAGGCCCCAGACAGGACCCACAAACCGTGAAGGTCAAAGCAGTGGTTGATGGTTTGTTAGCAGATGCTGGGGCTTTGCGAGCCTCAAGGGCAGACATTCTAGCCATCCTCAACCCAGTGCCTTGCACATGTTTGGGACTGCAGTTGTATCATCAGCAGACGGTGGGTGTAGTCCAAGAGTGAACCATGGTTTGCACGCTCCTGCTCTGTTTATGGCCTGCAGAGAAACTCAAAAGTCCTCCTTGGGGATGGAAACTACAGTGGTACCTCTAGTTACGAACTTAATCCGTTCTGTGACTTTGGTTGCAACTCGAGTTGGTCTCAAGTCGAGGTAAAGTTTCCCATAAGGTTCAA